AAAAAAAAAAAAAAAAAAAAAAAAAAAAAAAAAACCAAAACCACAAAACCCTGCAACTGGTTCTTTCCCTCCCAGCACTTTTACACAGCCATGATTACTGATGCCCGAGCCAGCTTGACTGTTACAGGGACTGGTCAGGACACTCTGGTGGAGACTCATAAATGTGACTGACACATTCCTCTTGCAAGAACAAGCCCAGGCACCACCCAGAACAAACATTCATCTTGCTGTGCCCAGCAACGTCCCTCCATACACACAAGTGATGCCTGGCTTACAGCCAGGTCAAATACAATCAGATTCCAAAAAGAATCAACCCTGATGGATCAGTACCATGGTTTTGCCAGCTACATTTTAGCAGCTGTCTTCAACCAGCCTGAACGCCATGGTCCCACAAGCCACGGGCACCCACTGCCACGGACAAACGTTGATCATGCAATGAGTAGTAACAGAGCTGCTCTGTTGGCACTGGACTGGGTTTTGCAGTTCCCTCTTTCAGTGACAAGGTGACGGTCAAGCAGGCTGTTTCACACGTGTTCAGTTCTTCCACCGGATTTGCTAAAAGAGAGAACAAGACATGACTAACAGCAATGCTGAACACAGAGCCCTAGGGGCCAACTTAGTGACTCTCCCAATTCCTGACAAGGATAGCTACAGCCAGAGCGTACCATTTCTATCAGTATAACCATTCATTCCTACCCTGAATGCAAACAAAAGATTAGCTTCCCAGCAGGAATAGAAAGTACATAGGACAGCCATGCCCCTAGACCTAATCTCTATCTGTTTCTGGTGAAGTGTCTGGAAGAAAGAGTAACCATTTCTTACCATGTTGCTGAGAATGCTGTTTATCTTCTCTTCTTCTGCAGAGCCCCGCTCCACTTTGCATTTATAAGCTGTCAGCTGGATACGATCCTTTAGATCCCGGTAGGTCTAGATAAAGGGCAAAATCAGCACCCAGCTGACATAAAGGGACACTTCCATGGTTAGACGGTGTCCTGCAGATGGGCAGGGCAACTGTACAATCCCCCATCCAGTTCCCAACACAGAACAATTTCAAAGCACAAATGCTAGGAGCCTCTCTCCTGACTCATGGACTTCTACTGGGAACCTTATCATTTTTCCCAGGCCACAGGGATAAACAAACCCCACCAGGCACAGGACAGAAGTGCACATGGCAGAGAACAGAAAAGCTAGAGAGAAAAAGCAGGCCCATGTCCCAGTTCTGCACACAGCAGCAATCTACCTCTATGACAACATCATGGCACTTGTATTTGGTAGCGAGGTTGAGCCGGGTCTCCACATCTTCCACCAGGCGCACGTACTCCTGCAGCACCTGTGAAAGACAGAAGCATGTCTCAGCTCCCTTCCACAAGTATGTCCTGTCTCACTCTCTCACCCAGTCCCAAAACCTTTCAAGGTTCGTGGTCACACAGAGTTGGCCCCTTCTTTAGGGAACAAGTGACCTCAACAAGACTGTTCAGGATCCCAGAGGTGTTGCTTACAAAGCTCAGAATCACAGAAAAAGTCAAGTTAGAAGGGACCCACAAGGATCATAGAGTCCAATTATTGTCCCAGCACAGCATCATCTCCAAGGGTCAGAACATGTGCCTAAGAGCACTGTCCAAATGTTTCTTGAATTCTGTCAGGCTTCATGGTGTGACCACTTCCCTGAGGAGCCTTTTCCAGTGCCCAATTACTCTCTGCGTGAAGAACCTCTTTCCAGTATCCAACTTAAACCTTCCCTGACACAATTTCAGGTCACTCCCTTGAGTCCTGTCACTGGTCACCCCTCCTCTTCCCCTCACAAAGAAGTTGTAGACTGCAATGAGGTTTCCCCTCAGTCTCCTCTCTCCAGGCTGAACAGACCAAGTGACCTCAGCTGCTCCTCATATGGTTTCCTCTCAAGCCCCTTGACCATCTTCACGGCCATCCTTTAGAGACTCTCTAATAGCTTTATAACCTTCTTATAATGTGGCACCCAAAACTGCCCCCAGCACTTGAGGTGAGGCTGTCCCAGTGGAGAGCAGAGCAGGACAATCCCCTCCCTTGCCTGGCTGGTTGATTCTGTGTCTGATGCACCCAAGGACAACGCTGGCCCTCCTGGCTGCCAGGGCAATGCTGGCTCAGGTTCAACTTGCCAGCAACCAGGATCCATGGTACTGCCCTCCAGTCTCTCATTCCTCAGTCTGTCCATACATCCAGGGTTGCCCCAACCCAGATGAAGAATTCCTCACTTTCCCTTGCTGAACTCTATTTAATTTTGGTGACTGCCCAGCCCTCTAATTTGTTGAGGTCTCTCTGCAGAGCCTCCTTGCCTTCTAGGGAGTAAACAACTCCTTCCAGTTTTGTATCATCTACCAACTTGCTTAGTATCTCATCCAGTTGTGCATCCAAGTCATTTATGAAGATGTTGAAGAGCACAGGGCTAAGGATGGAGCCCTGTGGAAACCCCCACTAGTGACCAGTCACCAGTCTGATGTTGCCCTATTTACTGTAATATTTTATGCCCAACTCATGAACCAGATGCTCACACATGTCATCACTTGTTTATCCAGCTGTGTGCTGGACATTTTGTCCAGGACACCCCAAGAGACATCAAAAGCTTTACTGAAATCCAAAAACATTACATGGAGTAGCTTCCCTTGATCAACCAAGTAGGTTGCCTTTTCATAAAAGGAAATCAGATTTGACAAGCACAACTTTCCTGTGCTGGCTGTGACCAATGACTGTGTTGTGCTCCAGGTTTCTCAATACCTCCCAGAATAATCTTCTCCATAACTTTACCTTACACTGAAATTAAGACTAGCAGGCCTACAGTCTCCAAAGTCCTCCTTCTTGCCTTCTTGAAAATTGGGACATTACCCAGCCTCAAGTCATCTGGCATCTCTCCAAATTGCCAAGACAGCTCAAAAAATCATTGAGAGGTTTTCTGATGACATTAGCTTGTTCTTTGAGGTTTCTTTGATGAATGCCATCATGCCCCATAGATTTCCAACTGAAGCAGCAGATCTGCATAGATTCAGGGTCGACTGGGAGCTGATAGTTTTCTCAGTCATTGTAGTCCAACTCAGAGCACTGAGACCCACTTGATCCACTGTTTATGAGGTGACCATCCTCATCCTGTAATGGGCCAATGTTATTTCTACACTTCCCACTGCCATTAAAATATTTGTAAAAACTCTGTTTTTTGTTCCCCACAATTCTGGCCAGCTTCAACTTCAGTAAAGCTTTGGCTGCACAAAATTTTCTCCCTACAGTGGCAAGCAGCATCTGTTTTCTTCTCATGTCATTTGACCTTGCTTCTACACCTTCCTTTTTTGTCTTTGATTTCCAAGAGAAGATTCCTGCTCAATCAAGCTGGCCTTCTGCCTTGCCTACCTGACTTCCAACATTTGGCAATTGCCTGCTATTGTACCCTTAGAAGGTCATGTTTAAAAACTGACTGATGGACCCCACTGCCAGGGGACCTTACCAATTTCCCAAGCAGCCTGAAGTCTGTTCTCCTCATGTCCAGACCTGAAGTTTTACTGGCACTTTTCCTCCTATCAACAGAATGTTAGGCTACCTCGCTGCTACGGATCAGGTTAACCATTGCCAGCCAAATTAAGAAACTTTAATGTAGCAAAGGAAGGTGGCAATGCACATGGGAAGAGAGTTCCCAGCCAATTTTGTCCAGTTTTCCCTCTTGCAGTCAGAGCTAGGACCCCAGCCCTCAATACCGCTCACACCTTCTGTTGATGCATGGGTTACTCAGCTGTGTGCTGCACCCACCTGGCAAAGCTAGACGATCTCCCACTTCCACCTAGGAAGCAGCTCACCTGAGGAGTCATTCATACACCAAATCCCAACAAAGAGCAGGACATAAGCAGGAGTTCCTGGCTCACCTGCACAGGAGCATTGTTCCTCTGCAAGATCTCCACCACCCGGTGGAAGCCAATAGGTGCCTTCTTCTTGGTGTAACCCAGCCAGTTCTGAAATGAGAACCAAACCTATGTTAACCCAAAAGGATAGCCTCTCCAGTCACAAGAAAATGTGTTTTTTCTCCCAGTGCCAACAACATACTCCACAGCCACCACATACACCACATTGCAGAGCCCTTCACACAGTGCTGGGCACAGGCTGGCTGCAATCCTTTTGGTAATAGAGCTCAGGGGCAGCCCCCTTCTCTGACCTTACTGCTGCAGCCAAACCAGGCCCAGCAGAGGTCTCAGGCAGAGAGAGGAGGAAAGTATTGCAACACTCTGCAGCAGAGGTGCTGGGCCCTGCTGAAATAAAACCAGTCTGTCCAGTAATTCCAGAACAAGCCAGCTATCAGTAGCAGATGCCAGTACTTGGGACTGTGTCCCCAGCAAGGTTTGCTGCAACTCACCTTGGTGGTGAGGAGGGCATCCACATCACCCCATGCCCGCAGCTTGGCACGGGCTGCCAGGGCAGTCAGCACATACTGCTTATCAGGAATCTGCAAGGCAGAAAGCTGCAGTCAGAACAGTAGCACAGTTCAGGAGGTCTGTGTGGGCTGGACATAAATGGCATCTGCCCCAGCTCTGTCTACACCAACACCCAAGCAAAGAGGCAAGGTGCTGCCTGATGCCATACACAGCACTGCAAAGACTAGGAAGTGGGGATTTGCAAGTGCTGCTGCAGACAGGGTACATCCATTGAAAGTTTCCATATGACTCCCAATTGCCTTTCTGAGACTCCAGAAGGGCCCTGCTCAAAAATGATGCCATGGCCCCCTCCCTAGCTCAGTGCTGAGCCCCTCAAATTCCTCCTACTGAGCTCCTTCATTACATATAGTTTGTCTGCCCATGTTTTCAGCTGGTGCTGCCACAGCAGGGGAGACTCACGCACCTTAAATGTCTTCTTCAGGTTGGTGGGGCTGCTGAACATTCCCTAGAGAAAGCAGACAAGTCAGTGCAAACTCAGAAGGGCAGGCCACAGCACGGGTTATAACACCTGTTATAAGGCATCTGCCTTGCACAGAGTCAATCTTCTCAAGATTTTACTGCTTTTTGCTCATGTCAGGGCCACAGGAGGAAGCAGCTGGCAGAAGAGAGCAACTATCCCACCCCACTAGCTGTCTGGTCTGGTTTCCCTACATCCTCAACTGGTGCACCTCCAGCACTTCTAACACCAGTAACATGTACCTCAGCCTCATGGGATTTACTGGGGTTTCTAGGAGGCAACTCCCTGACAAACTGTGCCAGGTTCAATGTCTTGGGGCACAAAACTCCAAACTGGTCCCAGGGGACAAAGTCCCTCTGAGAGATTAAACATGACCTCTCTTTCCCTTTTTCTCCTTAACATGCCACAGGTTGACCACCCCACATCTTGAGGGCTACAAGGATGAGATGAAATCTTATCTTCTGCCACATCATCCTCACCTCAGCCTCTGTGTAGTGGTAGAAACAGGAATAGAAGAGGGTGGTCACTAGTGGCATGTTGAGAATTGAAGCCTTGCGAGGATATTTCCGAAATAGCTCTGACTGCCCAGCCATCTCCAAGTGTCGATCATTAGCCTGTAGAATCAGGAAGACAGATGGGGAACATAAGCCAAGATGAGCCTGTTGAGCTGTGGGATAGAGACCTAAAGAGAGTGTTGTGACAGCAATGTGCAAACACAGCCCCAACATGCTATCAAGTCTCAGATCTGGTACTTCACATGTGCCTGGCATAGCAGCCTGAATCGCAATTACAAATACACTAGCCAGGATAGGCTGGTTAGATCCAAAGTGGTGTAAGTTAGGGACAGCAAGAGATCTCACAGGTAGTCCCAGCCATCTCCTGACCAGCAGAGAAGATTTCAGACCTCAATGATGATCTGTCGCTCCAGCAGGGTATAATGGTCTTGGATGTGGGAGGTATCCTCAGCTGAAAATGGCAGCCTGGCCAGACATGAAGAAAAGAAGCACTGTGACCAGCTCTTAAGTATAGAATCCTTCACTTACTTCTAAGTACTCTTAGAAGAATTTTTTTCTACCAAACAAGCTCCCACTCTTCCCATCTTGAAAGGCTAGTGGGTACGCAAACTCCTGACCCATTGCCCTCTCCAACTGGCTCTCTCCTTGACAGGCTCCAGAGAAAGAAATATTATGTGGTACCTCTCACAGAATAACCTAAAGTGGATGCTACCAACTACCTCAAGTGCTCAGGCACCCAGACTTTCATCCATCAGAATCTGAAGGATCAGTGATCAGAAAGTCCCTTGAAGCATCTTTCCTCCTGAATAAGCAGCAAAAGTTACTGGACTAGTGATCACCACAAACTGGTGATCAATGATTCCTCATTGGTCTACACTATATCCACAACTCTACTCCCACTCCCCACTAAGGGAAAACCGACATCAGCTCTCAACCCATGTAAGCTATGGCACTGGCACAGAGGTTTAATTTTATTCACTAACACCTCCTGTGAAGAATCCACATCCTTCCCCTGCTTTTGCATTTTTTCTTACCCAATGCAACCTTTCAGAAATTCCCTCCTTTTTTCTACATCCTGGATGTTCAGATGCTCCCGGTACTGAGACAGCTGGAGGGAGAGAGGAAAGAAGCAGTCTGTTCTCAGGGATTTGGGAGATACAGTATTCCAGAGGATGAAATGGGGGCAAAAAGCTTTTGCATGATTCCCACACTCTGCAGCCAGCCTCCCCCCATGCATTAAGGGAGCTTATGCTCCTGGGAATACTCACAGCAACTTCCTCAGTTCTGTCTAAGAACCTGCAAAAGAGAATTAATAAGCATTAACTTGGAGGCAGGTTCCAAGCAGTGTTCAGCCCTACCACAAGATGGATCAACAGCCTCACCTGAGCAGATCCAGAAGGAACTTCTGCTCACCCGTCTCTCTGAGGAAATGGATCAGATGGCACAAGGCCACCTGCCGCACCTCCAGCTCCCGAAACAAGATCTCTGCAGGGGAGAGAGTTTATGTACAGATGGGTAAAGTAAGATAGTGCTACCAAGCAGAGGGGACTTAGCACAGTGCATGGAGTTGAAAGTCACTGGCAGGATTCAACAATCTTATCCCATCTCAAATCACAGTGTTGAAGGCTGGAGCACAGAAGAGCCCAATCGCTGGGCTGACAGCTGAATTCACAGCCATGTGCCACCTCTACAAATTCATTTTCATTCATCCCATCACCACCACCTACCACTGCTTAAAGCTCTTTTCCAGAGCCATTGTAGGCATCACCATCCCCCCCACCTCCTACGTTACACTTGCTCCTACATTACACAAAAATATTTCATGCTTAGTAAAGCAGCAATAGCCCAAATGCTCTCTTTGTAACTTGCACCCAGTGAAAGAATTACCCCCTCCATCCTTCACTGAAACACACTACAGAAATCCCAGCCCCAGTCATGCTCACCTCTCCTCAGCGTCCGTTTCAGGAATATCAAGACCTGTGAGCACAGCCAGACAGGTCAGAATTAAGACACACAAAAAAGCAGCACACTGGTCAAGGCCTAGAGAAGTTTTTGCAAAGGGCCTCTGAAAACCCAGCTCTTAGAGCACTGAACTTAAATTCTGGTACCCACAACACCCAGGACAAGCAGTGAGCCTGGGCCACAGCTGCTTAGATTCTTGCCTATACTCTACTCTGGAGTTTAGTTAAGCGAGACCAAAATTCACAAAGGAAAACCTTTCCATGCAAAATCCAAGGAATTACAAGACCCGGATGAAGTAAGCTCTGACACAATCCTATTTCCTGTGTGATACTTTAAAAGCCAGAAAAACTGGTGAGGCCAAATACCAGGTCCCAGATCTTCTGTGCTGAAATGAGCAGATTAAACCTTGACCTCCAAGAAATAGTTGCAAAAATCTGTAAGGCTGATGGATCAAAGTCCTTGTTATTAACATTAATTGTGCAGAGTGGCAGGAAAGACAGCAGGAATACAGAATTTCCCAGTCTTTAGCTTTGACACTTTCCAATAACCGTTTGGTTTGAACTAAAGAACACCTCCCAGTCTTGCGAGACCGGGTGGCCAGCTGACTACATTCTCCAAACACTCTCTGTGGGGCCACCCCGCAGTCCCAGCCCTGTATGGCCCCAGCAGGACTCACAGCTGTAATGACATTCCCATCATGCCCTGCCACAGCTTCATCCAACAGCACCAGCTTGTCCTGCAGGGAGCGAAATCTCTCTAGAGAGCAGACCTAGGGACAGAACAGGAAAAAGCAGGCATGTGGGACTTGACAGTCCTCAGGCTGAATCCAAGGTATTATTTATTCCTCTCCCATAAGCCCTTCAGCAACATGAATAACTGCCCTCCCAATGCGTGGAGAAATTAATTCTTATGTAGCTGAAATCACATGCTGCATAATCCCTGAAAATTTGTCCAAAGGAGTTGCAGTCAACCCTCATTACAGCCCAGTCTAGGACAGCAGACAATGTACATTCAGCACGAACACCCTTGTAACAAGACAAAACTTTCCTGTACACCACAAACCACTAGCCCTGACAGGAGGAGGGAACTCTGCAGGCCCCTTTCCACAAAGGAGACCAGAAAAGTAGAGTCATAACTCTTTCTCCCTTCTTCTTACCCCACATCTGTGGCCTCTCTCATCCTTTAGTTCGCCTCAGCCTGTGAGGAGATATGTGCAGAGTGAAACCACAACTCCCTATGTGTTCACTGCACACTGAGGCAGCTGAGACTAAGATTACACTTCCAGTGAAACCATTTCTCTCTTCCTCCCTCCATTTGCCACCAAGTGAGAATGGAGATAAAGTTCCACTCCCTCAGATTTTTAAAATAAACCCAGTCCCAGGGAGCAGAAAGGGTAGAAAGGGACACAGCAGTACAGATACCTACTGTCAAAGCCTTGCTGAGGGGACCACTCAAGTAAACAAAGCAACAAAACCCTGAAGTTCTCCTGCTGCTCCTGAGCTAGTGTGATCCCAGTACTGCCACCTGGCAAAGTAACAGACAGGCAGACCACCACCCCTGCTAGGTGCTGCAAGCAACGCAGATCCCCTCCTTGTTCCCAGAATAGCTAGAAGCACAGAAAAGTGTAGAGCATCTTGGGACCACCCACCCTCCATCTCATACAAGCAGGTGGGAGTGCAAAGTCCTTACCTTGCCCCTCTGCATTCGCCTGACTGTATCTTTGGGGCTCCAGTCACTGCTGTAATCCTGCCATGGCAAAAATAAAGCACTCTTAAGCCTTAGATAATTTCAGCAATCTCTAAGCTGCTTTCCACTTCTGCTGCATCAGGGATGGCTTACATGCAGCTACTCACACTTATCATTCAGCTGCTTCAGGAAAAGTGTTGGTAGGATGTGTATGCACATTTTTCAAGTGCAGATTTTGAACCCTCAGACTCTACATGTGCTGGTGTGGAGGGAAGCTAAAGGCTCATATGTTAACACAGCCTTTCTATTGCCTCAGTAAGGTCTGTCATCATATCCCTTGTAAGAAGTGCATTGCATCAGGTTGTTCTCCTTGCAAACTATGTTGCTTTCAGGACAAACAAAATACATGCAAAATAGACTAACCCAAAACTGAAGGGCAAGGAGTCAGTTTCTTGTTACAATTCAGACAGACTTTGCTGGTGAGCCTTCCACAGCAGGGTGGAGAGCACAGGGACAAGAGAGAGCCTCAGGCAAGCACCTGGGGAGTCACACAAGATAAGGACAATGTGACAAAGGCATTGAAGCCTGGAGGAGGACCACCTTGAGGTAATATGCTACCACTGCTGCAATGACCAGAATTTTCCTCCATCAGCAGGTAGACACTATGATCTGAAGCACTAGATAAAAAGTGATGGTGGCTTGAGCCACTCCTAACTCAGACACCATAAAGTCATCTAGGTCTCTATGAGGCACTCAAGCCAGTAGTTGCAATTCAGCTTTCTGCCTCAAAAGCCCAGAGAAAAGAAGCAACTAGAACCAGCTCTGTGGACACTGAATTTTAAACCTATTGAAGATTTATTGAAAGCACAAATCTAAGGATGAAAGGTCCTATTGGAAGACCTCTGCACGAGTCTCTCAAAGCAATGTACAACTGAGTGTCAAATACCCTGATATTTTGAGCACCAGAGTTCCATCCAGCACCTCTGGCCAGAGGCATCTTCTCAGCTTGTCACTGTCAGGACACTCATCAAAAGCTGCCACTAATTTTCCCTTTTTTGTCCCACCCCACTTACACCACCCCCATTTGCATTTAAGAGGCTGCATAATTCTTCTCCTTCCTGTTTCACTGCTTCTGCAGGCCCAGAACAGAACACAACCGGGCACTCTTGCTTCTCCTGCTGTGCTTTGAGGAAGTGCTGTCTGTTAGGCTATGTCATTAATGGCTAACTGACAAAATACACCAACCTGGGTAGGATCAGATGGCCAAGGACAGGTGGACCATGAACCCTAACAGCTCAAGGATGCAAATGCCAGCTACTGGAGGAGACTGGGGTCTGGAATTCAGCTACAAAACAAACCAGATGTCTAAGACCAGCTACTGGAGGGACCCCATACAGTGTGTGTATGTTCCACTAGTGGAATTGGTCAGACAGAAAGAAAGCTCAGGATCAAGCTTGAGTGTTTTCTGTATGTGTCTACTCATAAAGGTGTTGGCTTCTGTCTTGGTTAATCTGTGCAGACAGCTATGTTAGTATTATGCATGTCTGTCTCTGTAGGAAATATAGACTCAGTCCTGTTACTACCTGGACCTAGGGACATGGGATCACAATCTCACACCTAGTAAGAGGAATCCACCTAGTCCCAAAATCCTCTAGATTCTCTAACACTTATGACTGCATATCTGGTAGACAAACATTCCTGCCAGTTGAAATGCCGCCTCTGCACAACTCCCTCTATGTTGTCCCAGTGATTCATGAACAGGAAATTTCAAAACTTTCATATTTAAGAAAATGTAAAAAACACATATGATGCCAGTTTATCTGGCCCAGCATGAAAGCAGCTTACAGACACAGCACTATTTTGAAATCCTTTCCACAGAGGCTGCTAGGCTATTCATTAAAAGGAGTAACCAAAACCAAGACCCCCTGCAAAGCTCTGTACTTCTGAGCAAAAGCAGAGAACACTTAAATTACTGCAACACTGCATTTTGCAGCTCCCTGTCCTATTCCCTGCATTGCCCTCTTCTGTCTGAAATAGCAACTGATCATTTCCCATGAAACCAGTAGAGTAGGAAGTTTACTAATCTCAGTATACAACAAGCATAGGCTGCTCACCTTGTACTCAGCTTTTGGTCTGCGCAGCTCTGGGGCATAGTTTTTAATTCCTGTGTCAGTGAGGGCTGAGAGGGAAAGGCACAGATGAGTAGCACATAAAAATCCTGATTCATATCCACTTCCAAATCCAGCCCCTTATTGGTTTTCATGGCAGAAGAACCAAACTTAAGCATCAAATGGCAATACAGCATTACTCTAAAACAAATGGTTGTCAGTTGTACATAAGTAATTACCCCAAATCACTCTGAGAATTCTTTAATTTCTTTGAGGAAAGAACAACCCATGATTGAACTTTTAGACAGCACATGATTCAGTTTCCCTTCTTGCATCATAAGGCAGATGACACTTCCCTTTTTTTTGGAAATGCTTTGTTTTGTAAAAATCTGCACACCTTCCAGAATGAGGCAGGGACCCAAAACTTACCATCTGAAAGGGACTGGAAACTTGAGAGTTTGTTTCGTCCTGAAATAAAAACACTGATGAGACACTGTTCCTTCACCAGCACCATCTCCTTCACAGGGCACATAAACTGAGACTGCAAGCCCGTTTACTGCAGCTATGCCCCTGTAGAACAAGCCACCCTGTACAGCAATTCACACTACACCAGCACAGCTGGGGCTCACCTGCTGATGTTTTAGGGCTTTGTAGTAGTAGTCTGTGGCATCACAAACCATATCACACTCCATCCCTATCTGCTCTCTTGGTCCTGAGGCCAGGAGAAGTTAGACCTGAATTCACTCATCTACCTACGGAGCAGAGGCTCAAGCACATGGCACTGCAACATAGGCATCCAAATTGCAGCCCTGGTGGATGGACCTGTCCATCTTGCCATGGCCTTTCTCATCACCTTATTGTCATAGTTGAGAGTAAAAAACCCCCCTGAGAAACAGAGACAAAGTAAAAGCTGTTTTGTTGTCTTGCTGTGTGAGAACAGAGCTGAACTCTTGCAAGCTGTGTATGTTTGCACACAGCCTGCTGCACAGCTCCCCACATAACCAGCCAGCCTGCCACTACTGCTATCATGTGTTTGCTGAACCAACACCAACAGCAGCCAGCTGAGCTCCAAATAAAGGATAATCAATTTGTCTTCTCTACAGAACTGAAAATCAAATGAGGGCTACATGGGTCAAACCATTCCCTTCGCAGCCTGCTCTTTTCCACAAACCAAATGGATTGCCACACAGTGTTGTGCTCTACCTTGCTGTTCTTTGGAGCCTGGATTTTAAGAAGACGTATCTCCAAAGCCCCTTCCCGCTCCACAAAAGCATGTGCTCTACTGCACAAGATAGTCTTCAATTTCTGACCAGTAAGCAATACACTTTCCACCTTGAGGAGAGATTGGAGCTTCCCTGTCTTGCAATACACTTCAGATGAAACAATTTACATAAGATAACACATTGCCCCTTGACAGCCTTAAGGGAAAACACAGTTGTCAATAGTGTGTATAATAAACCTCACCTTTGAACAGGCTGCTCAGGGAGTAGGAAGAAGCTTGTTTGGGAAGAGCAGCATAGGAGGAAGAGCCTTTCTGTAGGCTGGAGTCTCGGCCATCCAGGGAGCTAGTGCTGCCAGAAGCTGTCTCTTTGATTGACCAGGAGATACCTGTATGCAGACAGGTAATTTTTATCTGAGAAAGAGTCTGTAAAGAATGATCTTCTGGCACGGCAGAAACATTCCCAACTGTGTTCTGGTCAGTTCTGCACTAGCACATCTTGGTAAGTCTGACCCTCAGCTCTACGTAGACACAGTGCATCTCTCCATGCAGAATTCCAGTCTCATATAATGCTGCTTGTAAAGCAGTGGCACATTGTCCTCCAGAAATGACTGGTTTCAGCAACATTGTACAGCTGGCTACAGCTTGTGTAAAAGAAATACATAGGCACCCCACTTTTATATAATATTGCATGAGGCAAGGCATAGTCCTTGTTCTAAAAGTACAAAGCAAGACAGTCCCTAGCCTACCTCAAACTGCAGAAGCCTAAGAGCATGCTTTCCTGAACACTGAAGATTAAGATAACTTTCCTTCCCACACAGACAAAACAGCTCTCAGTGTGCATATGCTGCTGACAATGCATATATCTCCCTCCTGCCTGTTCAATACAGTATCCCTTGTTTTCACACAGCTGCACAACACAAATATTTTAAGATGAGGATGGCAGACAAAAAACCACAACAGGTAAAGAGACCCTGGGTGGGAAAACAAAGCAGAGGGAAGAGCTACAGCAAAGGACAAGAAGATCAGTCTTTGAAGGTCCTCTGGGTGACTCACATGAAAATTGTCATGGTTTGACAATAGCTAGTAAGTGTCACAATTCTGTGGATCATGAACTCAAAAGCACAGCACACAGGATTGTGTGTGGGCCATGAACTTGCTCCCATCATCACTAGAAACACATCTGCTTAACGTTTACAGTTCCCTTTCAAATTTCAAGCATAAGAGTAATTCTATAAACACACATTAAACCTTGAATATCTGTGCTGTGGGGTCAAAACACAGACACTTTAAATAGTGCCATTTCAGGCAGTGATGTGAAGGAAACGATCACCTAGAATCTCACAGGCCACCTGAGCAAGATGAGTATCAGTCCATAACCACCAAAATACCTGCTTTGAGCTTGGCTACGTATTAGAAAAAAATACAGTGAATTCCCTTCTCCAGAGCAGTCTGCACTCCTCTTTTTTACACAATTTGGGCTTCTGCTCACCCTCTTTTCAGTGAATCTGCTCAGATAAATCAAGTAGTTCATAATGTGACCTGGGAGACTTGAATCAGATTAGATATGCAGGATTAGATAGCAAATAATACTCCTGACTTAAATGATTTGACTCAAGCAGCAAGGATAATTTGCAGTATTTCTGCACTTACTTCCCACAGGTTCTCCACTCCAGCTGACCCTCTCGAGGTCATCATCATCATCATCAACAATGTCGCGAAGGCTGTTCACTGCCCGTTTGGATTCCTTCAGCTATGCACAAAAGAGTGACTTTGCATAAGGACCATCAGAATTGCAGAATGCACTCAGTTTCCTATTCTCATCAGACATCTTCCAAAGAACTTTGAATACAACTTCTTCAGCTTCCATTGCTGCTTCTTGGGATGCTATTTTAGTCCTGTAGCTGTGCAGCAGACAGAGGAGCCCTTCCTCACTGCTGGGAACCTCAAGGACAACTACGTGGACACTAACAGCTCAACCAGAGGGAAATGCAGTCTGGTGCGTGGGCGAGGAACCACGTCCTAAAGAAATTTCGTACTGGCTACTGTGGAGGGAGAGACAGGAGCCTTTAGTACCCTCTGAGTGGGCAGGAGGTGACAATGCACCTACAGAACACCAACCCTCCGCGATGTGCAGGCCCAAGACCTGGGCTGGGACGGCTACGGGGACCCACCCGGCGAGGGTGTCCTACCGGCAGCTCCAGGGTCGGAGCTCCCTACCTGCGAGAGCTCGTCATCCTCGTCGTCGAAGGTGAAGGCCCGGAACTTGGAGCTGTGCCAGTACTCCTCCTCGTCCGCCCGCACCCTGCTCATCTGCAACGGCACGGCGCGGCTGCCTCAGCAGAGGGAGGGAGCGGCTGCCTCGGGGGTATCACCGGCCCCAGTCGCGGCCCCCGTCGCGGCCCCGCCGCCCCTGGCCCCTCTCTCACCTCGCCGCCCCTCCCGCGCCAGCAGCGCCTCACAGCAGGGCAGGGCAGGGCAGGGCAGGGCGGGGCGGGGTGGGGTAGCCGCGCGCGGAGCACGCCGGGACATGTAGTTCTCCCGCTGGGCGCAGCGCGGCTTCTCCTCGTTCACGCACTACGAGTCCCGGCGTCCCCCGCGGGCCGCATTGAATTGCCTTCGGACTACCAGTCCCAGCGGGCTGCGAGTGCGGCGGAGCGGTGTCTGGGCCGGCAATCGGGATCGGGGCTCTGGAAACTGCGGGCTGGCTCCGGGAGCTGTGGGCCGGCGGGGATGGGGACGGGAGCGGGAGCGCCAGCCCCAGCCCTAGCCCTAGCCCTAAGCTGCCTGCAGCGCGGCGGAACAGCTAGCCAGGCGGAACCAATAAGCCGGGGCCGCGCGGCGGGGGCGTGCCGGAAGGGCCCGCGCCGGGCGGAAGGCGGGAGGCGGCGCGGCGGTTCTAGCAGCTTCCACGGGCGCTCGGAGCGGAGGCGGCGATCCCGGTCCCGATGGCCAAGTGGGGGGAGGGAGACCCGCGCTGGATCGTGGAGCAGCGGGCGGACGCCACCAACGTCAACAACTGGCACTGGTGAGCGGGGAGGCTGCTCCCAGAGCCAGCGGGGCCCGGGGCGGAGGGGGCTGCACGGCCCGTGTCGCGGGCAGAGCCGCCTCCCGTCCCCTCCCCGCGCTCTGCTGCTGAGGCGCCGTGCCCGGGCTGCTCCTCCGGGGCGGTCCCCGGCCCCGTGCGTGTGTGCCGGGGTGCCCGAGCCGAGCTGTGCCGGGGGAATGCCTGGAGGTGGCCCGGGGCAGAAATCTGTGTGTGTTTGTGTTGAGGTGGGGCAGGGAGACAAGACTGGGGAGCACTGGATAGTCCCAGTATGCACTGTCAGCGTGGCCTGTCCCAGATTGTCACCCTGCTCGGTTTTCCTGCAGGACAGAGAGGGATGCCTCCAACTGGTCCACGGAGCGGCTGAAAGCTCTCCTTCTGCCTGTCAGGGTGGAGGGTGAGGAAGGGACCTGTGAGGTGACAGAAGTAAGCAAACTGGATGGAGAGGCCTCCATTAACAACCGCAAAGGGAAGCTTATCTTCTTCTATGAGTGGGCTATCAAGCTGGCGTGGACTGGTGAGTGAGATGTACCCCTCCTGTTTCGAGGTTAGATTAATGTGTGATATCAAGGGTAAGGATACTTATCTCATTTGGGAAATAATAACAAAGGGAATATCATATTTTGATACAATACAAGTTTGCTTTGACAACAACAGAGTAAGAAAGATTGATCTGAACAATATAATTACAGGCACCTCAAAGACAGGAGTGAAGTACAAAGGTTATGTGGAGATTCCTAATCTCTCAGATGAAAATGACATCGATGAAGTTGAGGTAAGCAAAGCTGGATGTATGGAGTATTCTAACAGGAGTACTCACAGCATTAATATTTCCTTCCCTGTTTCCATTTTTAGAACATTTGTGTAGAATTTTTTACTGTTAGAGATTGCTTAAGTTAATAGAATCAGAGAATGTTTTGGGTTGAATGAGATCTTTAAAAGTCATCTATTACCAACCTCTCAGCCATGAGCAGGAACATCTTGTCACTAGACCAGGTTACTCAGAGCTCCATCCAAGCTGGCCATGAATACCTCCAGGGATGGAGCATCCACAGATTCTCTGGGCAACCTGTTCCAGTGCCTCAACCACCATTAGAGTGAAGAATTTCCTTCTAATTTTTAATCTAAATCTACCCTCTTTCAATTTAAAACCGTTACCTTTCATTCTGTCACTGCACTCCCCAATAAAGAGTCGCTCCCCCATCATGTTGTATCTTTATCAAATTAATTCCTGGCTTCTAGATGCAAAAGTCTCTGTAGCACAGGAAGGTGTTTAGGCATACATGTACAGGCTGAGAGAGGTGAAGTGAAAGATGAATAAAACTGCAGGGCTGTTTATGAAAGTTTAGCCAAAGTCTGCGATATTGAATTAAATAAAAGAACTGTGCACATTTGTCCTTGTTAATTGGTGCTTTTTATTGTTCAGATCCTTGTCAGCCTTGCTAAAGATGAGCCTGACACTAACTTGAAGACCCTGATGAAGCAAGAGGGTGCAAAGAAAATTAGAGATGCAATTAAAACTTACATCAGCACTCTCAAAACGGGTACGTAACTGAGCGGGAGAAGGGTTATAGGAACCCATATGGACTAATTCTAAAGAAGGGATGGGGTAAAGAGAGGAGTTTCTCACTCCATCTCAACAGAAAGGTGTCAGAGCAATAACAGTAACTTTGGGAAGAAGCATTTCTGGCTCTAGACAGTATAGCACAGCTCAGAAAGATTGATTTTGGTAATAATGCAATAATAAACAGAATTTTAAAATTTATGTTTTAAAACTGAGAATGCCCTTCATATCCTGAAGCTATAGAGAAAATGAAAGCCAGTAAAAAGGGTTGGTTACCCCATTGACATAGTCACTGCCTGTGGCACAATCTGGCCTTCAGTTGGCTTACTCCCTTGGAAAGTGATATCTTCTACAGTTTGTCGTTTGTTTTTAGGGGTTTTTTTCCCCTCTTGCCACACTGGTAAAGACATCTAGTGTTACTTGGATTTTAGAATAATTGATGTCTGGAAATTGCTCTGCAGGTTTTGTTGGTGTCTTTTAATAAGCTGTCTCAGCATCTGGATCAATTCTTTTGTTAAGTTAAATCTGAGTCCAGCAGTTGGAGTTAAATCAATGTGCTTTGGTTGAGTTTGACTTTCCTCTCAAATACAGGCTGGGAATGCTACAATTACTTTTTATAACCACTTATATTACATTACATGTCCTAGATATGCTGGGTACAAACCACCACTGATTGCTGTTTTTCCAGGATTAAATTTCTGTATTCTTGGTTTGTTTGTTTTTTTTTCAGGCACTGTAGTGTTCAGGCTGGGAGATGCAGTCACCCAGTGAAAGATAAGAATGCTAATCAGAAAAATCTGTATGATCTTGTGGGCTGCAATAAATGAAAATAAGTGGGAACCAAGTATTGCAGGATACAGGTTTATGCACATATGATAAAATTTTGCTTTCTAATGGAATTTTGCTGCTCTGAACAGATGAAGAGGAAGAAAAAGGAGCAAAATGTTGTGTAATTGGTAAAAGCAGAAGTGACTGAGCTGAAGAAAGAGCAAATGTAATTCTGAACAAGGCTGAAGGTTCTGATGGAGTTACAAAAGTGTTAGTGCTGCTGGACAGGGTGCTGGTGAGGCGTGCCTGGCGTTCTTGTGTAGTCCTGGCATCTGGCATTGATAGATAGTTAGAAGTTACTATTGTTTACCACGGCAATACAAGAAATGGAAAAGCTTGGTTTGGTGTGTCTAGGCCAGCAAGGCAAAAGCTTTTGATGCATGATTGCAATTTATATTAGAGAGTGAGAGAGGAAAAAAGCTACCTAAGTCTAAGACTAAGCAACATCAATGTGAGAGCAGCATGTGGAAGTATGTCTAGGCTTCGAAGAGGAGGTAAGTTCCTAATTGCTAGTGTGGGCAGGTTCTGACAGGGCCTTCGGTGGAGAGTAGTGAGGGAAAGAATTAATTGCTTGTAAAAAGAGGTCTGTGACTTTTTCTGAACACTGTTTCAAGTCATGGATGCTAGCCAAGAGCAAGGGGGAAACCAGGAAGCCCTTTTTGTGTATTTCAAAGTACAGTCAGAAGGTACTTGATCTTTTATCAGTTTCATGGGCACATTCCTGTCTTTCCAGAATTCACCCAGGGCATGATTTTGCCCACAGTGAATGGTGAACATACAGAAACGGCACCTCAGGTGGCTCCTAAAGCAGAAGACCGCAAGGTAAACAAAACTGCAAACATGCTTTGGGATCAGTGAAGAAAGGTACACTCTATTAGGTTCTGGAACTTACAGGAACAACCTGTGTTGTGTATAGGATATACACATTCAGGAACTGGCAATCTGTGGAATAGGTGTGACTGTTATCATTGGCAGCACATGATGTTTCTTCCAAGCAAAGCGATAAGTCTGCTTTGTACATTTAAATATGGTTGTATCTTATTGCATCTTTACTAAGAGCCTTTGTTTTTCCCCTTGGATATATGAACTATTTGTTGATTATTTTGGTTTGGATTTTCTTTTGGTGAAAAAAAGTGTGTATGTGTTTGTTTTCCCTGTTGTTTTGTTAGACGGCTGCCAGGAGCAGTACTGCCATACCACAGTCCAAATCCATAGGAGTCAAGATCCCTACCTGCAAGATCAGTTTGAAGGACACCTTCTTAACATCCCCTGAAGAGCTCTACCGGGTATTCATTACCCAGGAGGTAATGCCTGGCTTCTTCTGAAAGTTGTTCTTCGCATATAGGAGGCTTTTTCTATTAAGGTTTTTAAGAAGTTCTGTAGGACACAATCTATGAGAATGGAATCAGAAGACTGTTGTACAAAGTAGTTGCTGAAAGCTTGTGTGTGCATCTTTTCACACAGCTGACAAGAGGGGGTTAATGCAAACCAGAAGCAAGTTCCAGACTGCTGTCAGCATCTCTCTGTAGGTGTATCCCTTACTGCGTGTGGCCAGGTCACTTGAGATTTACAGTTGTGTGCTTCTGGTTTGTTTTTTCCTTCTAAGGTTAGGTGGTATCAAAAGCATGCTTTGGAAATAGCTTCCACTTTTCCGCATGCTATTATATAGTTTAGGAGGAGAGAGCAGCATTGTATCATTATTTAAACATCGTCTTAGTCTTTTGTTCTTCCTAATTTGATAAGAAAAATGAAAAAGCAAAGAATATTTTTTTCTTAGAATTAAGTTTCATTAAGAAATCAACAAAGTAAATCACTGTGTGACTTAGAACACTGCATAGCACTATGAAAGCTGGAGGTTCTTTTCCTTGGGCCGGTGAAATGTTGCTGTAGAGCTAAAAACTTGATTTTCTGGCCAGGGATTCTTGTCTTTTGCTGAAGACCTTACACTATTGACCTAC